TGAACAATTATTAGAATAATGATTTGTCTGCATAACTAGAATAATGATTTGTCTTGCCTGCTCCCCGCCCCTCCAGTTTTGAAAAGCTGTCCACATCCAACCTAACTTGAATTCGCATCTCCATCCCCAAATCTTAATTAGCCCATCATCCTTTTAACTCGGCGTCTTCCCATTCCTGGGTACCAAAAAAAAAAAAAAAGCCCTCGACAAAGATGGCGCCCGCCTCCCCGCCCTCGCTCCCTCGCACCGCGCAGGCGCGCCCGGCCAGTCAACAACCACGTCCTCACACCCCGGCCCCCATCTTTTCTTCCCTCGAGCGAGATGGCGCCGGGACGGGCTTCGAGGCCAGGCTTCCCGTCCCTAAGATGGCGGCCGCGCCCATAGGCAACGGCCTTGCGCTTCACGCCTTTGCCCTTCTCCGGGCGACGTCGCCGGCGTCGCCAAGATGGCCGCCGGGGCGGTCCCAGCCGCCTGATGCGGTTGTTTAAAATTCCGAGGCAGCCGCCAAAGTCGGACACGAAGAAGAGGCGCCGCCGCCGCCGCGACCCGTCAGCCGCCTCCCTCTCGCCGCCTCCCGGGGCCGCGCCATGGACTCGACCCCGGGCGAAGACCCCACTTTGCCGCTGGACATCCACAGCGGGTAGAGCCGTTAGGGCCGTTGGCGGGTGGGGGGAAGAGGGAGGAGGAGAAGGGAGGGGGGAGGAGGAGAAGGGAGGGGGAGGAGGAGTTAACCCCTTCCCTGCCGCCGCGCGGCAGACAAAGCGAGGGGGCGGGGCTGAAGCGCCTCTCTGGCTCCCTCCCCCCCTCCCTCCCTCGGTGGAGCCTCCAGCGCCCGGCGCAGTCTACATTGAATGGATGGGAAACGAGCAAGGGCTGCTTGGCCCCGCCTTGCCAGCCTTTGGACCACCCTGCAAGAGGGTTGTTAAGAGGGGTGGAGGGTGGGGAAGGGGGCAGAAGGCATCCTTGCAAGGGGGGTGAGGATTGGGGGTGGGCTTTAGATGGGGCTCTTTCCTCATCTTGATGGGGTGTACTACAACTCCCATCTTCTGAGAGTCTTGTCTTTGCGGATCTGATGGGCGACCCTGCAGGAGGGTGGTTAGAGGGGGGAAAGGGGGCAGAGGGGATCCTTGCAAGGGGGATCAGGATAGGGGTGTAGGTTTCCTGCTGGATAGGATCCCGATCCCGGTGGGGTGTACTACAACTCCCATCTTCTGGGAGTCTTGTCTTGGCTGCCTTTGCGGATCTNAGAGGGGATCCTTGCAAGGGGGATCAGGATAGGGGTGTAGGTTTCCTGCTGGATAGGATCCTGATCCCGATGGGGTGTACTACAACTCCCATCTCCTGAGAGTCTTGTCTTGGCTGCCTTTGTGGATCTGGTGGACGACCCTGCAGGAGGGTGGTTAAAAGGGTGGGTGGGGGAGACACAAGACCCATCAGGCTTGGGGTTCATGTTTCCGGCTAGATCAGATTGGGGGACATCAGCAAACCAGGCCGGGGGGGGCGCTTTCCTCATTCAGATGAGGACACACTACAAGCCCCATCCTCCCCAGGTGTAGGAGACAGAGAATCTGGGACCTGCTAGCCTTAGATAGCTGCGGATCCCCCCCTTCCTGGCTCTTACACCCTTTCCCCTTCAACTGAACCCCTTGTCTTGGACTACAGTTCCCATCACTTGTCTTGGACTACAGTTCCCATTGCTCACCTTCAGTGCAGGAGGGGGAATCGGAAAGGCAGAAAATTCATTTTTATTTATTTAAATGCACGTATGAAGAAAGATGGAGAGATATTAAATATTGATCAGAGACTGGATAAGCCACGTGCCTCTATCCAGATATTCTCAAAACCCATTGGCACTACCGCTGATGGGACATGTAGTCCAGGGCTGTAAAAGTGGGTGGGGGGGCACATCTGACCTAGCCTGGGGCCTGCAAGCTCATCTTTTAAAACCTCTTTCCTCCCAGCCTCAATTTTTCCCGGCTTCCAGACGTTTCGGGAGACGAGATTCGCAATCAAGTGGGAGGCGGTGGAGGTAAAAAAAAATAAAACAAATCAATCCCCCAAAACTCTCTTTAAAAAAATCCCTTAAATGCAACTTAAATCAAACTTTATAGACTGGCATAAATACATTGTTGCATTTCAAGCCCTTTATCTAAAGTAAGTAGGAAAAAAAAACACACCAAATACTTGGAAGAGAAACAAAAGGGAAGTAATTAAGTCTGCACCGGAAAACTTTGTTGCATTCAAGTTTCTTTTTCTAAGTGATTGCAAACAGCCATCCAAGGGGAGAAAAAAATAAATAAATTCTTGGAGAATTACACAATCCCTTTTCCAAGCCACAAAGTGTCTGTTTAATGCCCTTGAATTCTGTTTTGAATTCTGTCTCCCCCCCAGAATTTATTTTGTACTGCATTTGTTGAAAATGGATGGCGATTTCTGTCTCTGTCTGTTTTCAAGCTAGAAACAAAAATGAAAAAAAATGATAGTATAGCTAACGTAGTTTAAACCCAAATCTGGGCTTAATGTGTTTTATTAACATTTTCTCCAAAGCCAGGAAAACAAAACCTTTATTGGGGATTTTGGTTCAGCTCCAACGTATTTCTTGCTTTGCCAAATTGTTCCACCGTTCAGTTTCTTTTGTGTATTTTTGCACTATAATTTGGTGCCTCTGATCTGAAAAAAACCCCCCCACCAACAGGCAATTATTTAATCCTTCATAAAAAGCAATTACTTTCTAGATATGAAATACGCAACACACCTAAAAATTTATTTATTTCGGGGTTTTTTGAAAACAAGTTGTGAAAATAGAAGTTTTTTTTAAAATGCAAATTTATTTGACATTTCCACTTGAGTTCCTCTCTTTGCACTTCCCTGTTATAAATTTAAAAGTTTCTCAATTTTTTTAAAAAATACTGCTGCTGCTCCTTGGGCCCCTTGTTGTATTTTTAGGGGTGTGTGCAAAGAGTTTCTTTTTGGCGTGATTTAGTTCAGCGTGAGGTTTATTTATTTATTGTACGCGCATGTACGTGTGTGCGCAAATATTTGCTCTTTATTTGGATTATTTGGCAGCGTTACTTGAGGTGGCCGAAGACACTGTTTCACCAACTAGGGCGCGGACCATGAAGGATTTTGAAAATGTAAGTTGGTGGCTGGTTGTTTGTTGTGTGTGTGTTTTTTTTTAAGCTATAAAGGTAATCCTCGACTTACAACCATTATCTTCGAGGAAAAACAAAAAAGTCCAGTTGCCTCGTGGAAGGAAAAAAAAAGCACTTTTGGGACAACCATGACTTAGATGACGGAGGATCTCCCTAGACAAACCTCTAAACTTGTGACTTTTGTTAGGCTTTGTAAACTGAGTAGTTGCATCCTCCCTTTCACGATAGGAAGGTGCAAGCATCAATATTTTATTAGCAACATAGGAGATTTCTCCAGGCTGGCAAAGATGGGCGAGGATATAGCGGTAGCTGCGTGGGACTGGGACAGCTGCTTTATTTAAATGAATGTTTTACACAGGTAGTTCTCGAACTTACAACAAAACAGTTCATTTAGTACGTTGTATATAGTTGTAGACGTTGTATCTACAGTAGTGGCCAAAATTGTGGAAACCCTTTGGGAAAAGTGTACAGTAGAAATGCCACCTTTGGCTAAGTTTCCACCCATTTTTCCTTCTAATTTCTTTATAACTATAGCCTTGTTCACTAATAATACTATTTTACATCGCTTTCTGGGCAACCAGTGAACTCTTTGCACCATTCCTTTAATTTTATTACGTTTTACAAGCTCACTCAATGAAAGAACACCAAAAAAACCCCAACCAGTTTGATAGGGATCACATAACCCACCGACAAATGTCCTCCTCTCAGCTTCAATACAGGAGATCAATAACTGGATCCTACTGTGATCCGATTGGCTCATGGCCAAAACAAGATGACACCTGATTGGCTCTCTAAACATCCACGCTCATTGGCTACAATCAGATGAAGGAAAGCTACCTGATATCAACCTAAGCAAGCTGTGCTTCCTTTTTCTGGTTATTTGGCTATAACTTTTCATAGAACACAGTACAGATAATTGAACAAACTTTGTTGCACTACAGTCTTGATTAAATTATCTTTCCATTGATATATAATTTTATGGTACTACTCCAAAACAAGTGGTGTTATTAGCCATCAAACTTCAAAAATACACTTTTCCCCAAAAGGTTTCCACACTTTTGGCCGCTGCTGTAGCATGCTTTAAATGTGTGTTACGTATGTGTGCACTTTGAGAGCAAGCAGCTAAATTTCATTTTTAACGTGTGCTGTTGTGCCCACAGGAAAAAAAAGATGACGATAAAGGTTAGCTAATCTAAAAGTTAACGACGACACTGAAAAAAGTCACTTGTGACCGTTTTTCAGACTTAACGGCCGTCGCAGCATTCCCCAGGGTCACGTGATCCGAATTCGGACGCTTGGCAACTGACTCATATTTATGACGGTGGCCGTGTCCCGGGGTCACGTGATCCCCTTTTGCAAACTTCTGACGAGCAAAGTCAACGGGGGGAAGCCAGATTCACAACGTTACTAACTTAATAAACTAGAGCGATGAACATCTGTGACAAGAAAAGTGGGGAAATGGGGCAAAATTCACTGGTTGCTTAGAAAACCCTTCCCTTCTTTCGCCAGCAAATCACGGAGCTGCGGAAGGAGAATTTCAACTTGAAACTTCGCATCTATTTCCTGGAAGACCGGATTCAGCAGAAGTTCGAGGGTCCCCACGATGACGTCTACCGAATTGTAGGTGGTTTTCTGTGCGGTTCCCGGTGTCCGTACGGGCACCAGGGCAGAACACAATGTGTTCCTTGCCTGTGTGGATTGTCCTGGTGCCTGCTCGGAGTCTGTCCCTCATCAGTGCCAGCCAAAGTTGGCCCCCCATTTCGGTTGTGGGAATAGGAAACTGCCCCGCACAAAATCCTTGTGGGGAAGGGGAAAAAAAAACACCCAAGTTTTTACAACTTTTCTTTCTTGTTCTGTTAGAACATTGAGCTCAAAGTCGAATTGGAGAGCGTGAAACGGGAGCTCCAGGAACGAGAGCAGTTGCTCCGGAAAGCTTCGTGAGTATTTCCCTGCCGTTAATGTGTGGATGTGTGTCCTTGTTTAATTGTGTTTCAGGTGAGTGCCCAGCCTTCCCCTCGGGTCTCTGACAATTGCAGCCAACTTGCCATGGCCAACCCGCCGCGGGACGAGAGTTATGCTAAGATCAGTGAAAGGGTGGAATAGAATCCTTCAAGAAAGGATGCCAAAGGGAGGGACAGAATGAAATGGGAATGGCAAAAAATAAAACCATTTTTAATTTATTTAAAATGATTAAATAGAATTGTTAAATTGTCCTGCAACCAGTTAGCCATGGTGAGTTGGCCATAGTGAGTTGGCCATAATGAATTGGCCATGATGAGTTGGCCTTGGTGAATTGGCCTTGGTGAATTGACTATGATGAGTTGGCCATGATGAATTGGCCTTGGTGAATTGGCCATGATGAGTTGGCCTTGGCGACCTGCCCATAGTGAATTGGCCATAATGAGTTGGCCATAATGCGTTGGCCATGGTGAATTGGCCATAGTGAGTTGGTCATAGTGAGTTGGCCATAATGAATTGGCCATGGTGAATTGGCCATGATGAATTGGCCTTGGTGAATTGGCCATGATGAGTTGGCCATGATGAGTTGGCCATGGCGACCTGCCCATAGTGAGTTGGCCATGGTGAATTGGCCATAGTGAGTTGACCTTGGTGAGTTGGCCATGATGAGTTGGCCTTGGCGAACTGGCCATGGTGAATTGTGAATTGGCTATGACAAATTGTCCCCTTCCCTTTTGCCAGCCAAGCTGGTGAGTGAGGAATCTCCATCCCGGCTGGAGAAGGGTTGAGAAGGAAGGTCCAACTGGACAGCAGCTCCTTCCTTCAGTCTCCTGCTGCTGTTCGTCTCCTCGATCGTCCCGTGTTTGGCCTTTGCAGGAAAGCCGTCGAAAGCCTGGCCCAGGGTGGTGATGCCGAAATCCGGCGTCTGAAGCAAGATGCAGAGAAGAAAGTCCAGGAAGTAGAAGCAAGCTTGACTAACAGGATCCGGCTTTTAGAGGAGGCAAGTCTTGAATTTTCCTGGAATTTGGGGGAATTTTGAGCCTTTGGAGTTGGTGGGAAGCTTTGGCTGGAGTTGGCCGGCAGTGAGAATCCCAAGGAAAAGTTGCAGGTGATGGCCACTTCTTCCATCCTGAGTTTTGGACACTAAGGACGGGGTACTTTCTAAGTAGGGGTAGTCCTCCACTTATGAACACAGCTTGAGCCCCATATTTCTGTGGCTAAGTCAGACAGTTGTTAAGTGACTTTTGCCCCGTTTTATGACCTTGCCACAGTTCTTAAGTGAATCTTAAGAGGGCAACCTTTGGCTTCCCCATTGACTTTGCTTGTCCGAAGTTTGCAAAGGATGATCACATGACTCCCGGACGCTGCAACCGTCCTAAGTACATGCCAGTTGCAAAGCATCTGCATTTTGTTCACGTGACCACGGGGATGCTGCAAGTGTCGTACGTGGGAAAAAATGGTCCTAAGAACTAAGGAGAAACTTCCTGACAGTTAGAACAATTAACCAGTGGAACAACCTGCCTCCAGAAGTGGTGAATGCTCCATCACTGGAAGTTTTTAAGAAGAAACTGGACAGCCGTTTGTCCGAAATGGTGTAGGGTTTCCTGCCTGAGCAGGGGGTTGGACTAGATGACCTCCAAGATCCCTTCCAACTTTTTTAAAAATTATTATTATTACTATTCCCTCGGCACCTGGATGAATCAGTCTATCTGGACCCATACCAGTCGGGCTTCAGGCCGGGATACAGCACGGAAACGGCATTGGTCGCGTTGGTTAATGATCTCTGGAGGGCCCGGGACAGAGGTTATTCCTCTGTCCTTGTTCTTTTGGACCTCTCAGCGGCTTTTGATACTGTAGACCACGGTATCATGCTGCGG